TCTTTCCCTCAGGTTCAGGGCATGTCCTTCATAGCAGCAGTATTGATCTTGAACTTAGATACTGCGGATGCCTTTATTGCTTTTTCTAATCTTTTGAATAAACCCTGTCAAATGGCATTTTTTCGAGTGGACCATGGCCTTGTGAGTATTCTCTGCATATGCTTGGTACTGGGTCTATATAGCAAGAGTTGTCTAGTCAGCCTGTGTTTTCAGTGAAAACAAAACAAACCGTATCTCACCTATGAAGAGAGATTTAGAATAAGTGCTCCCAGGTGGAGGATTATTTAAGGCATCGCACTGAACTGCAGTTTAAAGGCAGGTGATTAATAGCCGTACATCCTTTTTGTTTCCTACTCTTTGTGTTCTCTTGCTTCTGTTTAGCCACATGTCTGAATGTCTTACCACGTCCTTCCAGGAAGGCAGTGTTTGTGAAAGTGTATTTAAGAGAAGGTGGCTCCAGCACCAGCATATACACTTTGTAAAAGCGGGTCCGTAGCAGCACCCACAGTAGGGTCTGGAAATTGGAACATTTTATAATTGGACTGTGTTGCTGCTCCTTGTCACCTTGGGCTCTGCTCGTGCAGGGGAGGAAGGAGGTGTGTTTAAGACCTTGCTCCTTTATTTATTTATTTTTAAAAGGCAGCTGTTTAGTGCACTGCTCTAGATGGGTCCTTACCACCCTGAATAAGTGGAAGGAGTTGACAGCAGTTGCCCTGGGAAGGCTGTGTGGTCCAGATGAGGGCAGGCTCAGAGGTGACGGGACTTGTCCAAGGCCTGCCTCTGCTGAGAGGAAAAACTGAATCCATTCTGGTTCCTAAGCCTTCATTCTTTCTGTAGCCTAGAAGAAAAGTCACCAATTTAATATAGCTTTTAAATTAGCATTGTCGTCGTTTGCTGATGACTTTTTTGTTGTTGTTTTTAAAGTTTTTGCCATAGGGCATTATGCTTGCTAGAGAGAGAGAGAGAGGGAAAGTGAGAAATCACCCCATGGGGAGATAGCCATGCCAAGGTCCCCTCTCCTCCATTTTCCTCTCTCGCATGCACCTGATGTAATCCCTAAGCTACAGATCTGGAATTTAAACCACAGTCGGCCATGTCCAGAGCCTTAATCACCACGCCACCTGCTGGCCCCTGATTCTCGCTACTTTAAGATCCAAATGATAATAATTTACATCAGCAAAGCAGTATTCCTTCCTTGGTATTTTAACAACTCCTGAATTGTTCTTGTTGAGGCAAGAAAAATTCAACTCAGAAGAATTAGGAAGTAGAAGTGGAAACTGTTGCTAAACTGGTAGCTGCCAGGGGAGATACACACTGGCAGAGTCCTTTTGAGAGACACTTGGTATTAAACTGTCAGTAGCTGTAAGTAGTAATGATAGGTGATTCTGCTCAGAGTCAGTCCTAGGAAAGTCATAAATGTAGACAAAGCATTATGCACAAAGATTATTACACAATTATTTATAGTTGCTATCATGAAAACAACTTAAAAGGGGATAGAGGGAAATGAAGAATGGTAAATTAAAATCTGGCAATGTATCTTATGCAATAGTGATATTTGCAAATAACTATAACATGGGAAAGTATTTAAGCTAAAAGGCTAATTTTTTCAAAAGTATATAAAATAGAACATATATTATAATGGCTACCATATTTAACAATAAAAAGAAATATATCACAATATTAGTAGTGTATATGGTAGGATGATTTATAGGTTGGTAGTGCTGATATAGTTCCTAAGTCTTCTACAATTAACATTGATAAGTTATTACTTTACTTTTTTTTTTAAGAATTATTTATTTAGTTAGTTTTATTTGTTGTTACTTTTTAATTTGACCAGAGAGAGAGAAACAGAAAGAGAGAGAGAGAGAAAGGGAAAGTGAGAAAGCAAGCTGCCAAGCAAGAAAAATTCAACTCAGAAGAATTAGGAAGTAGAAGTGGAAACTGTTGCTAAACTGGTAGCTGCCAGGGGAGATACACACTGGCAGAGTCCTTTTGAGAGACACTTGGTATTAAACTGTCAGTAGCTGTAAGTAGTAATGATAGGTGATTCTGCTCAGAGTCAGTCCTAGGAAAGTCATAAATGTAGACAAAGCATTATGCACAAAGATTATTACACAATTATTTATAGTTGCTATCATGAAAACAACTTAAAAGGGGATAGAGGGAAATGAAGAATGGTAAATTAAAATCTGGCAATGTATCTTATGCAATAGTGATATTTGCAAATAACTATAACATGGGAAAGTATTTAAGCTAAAAGGCTAATTTTTTCAAAAGTATATAAAATAGAACATATATTATAATGGCTACCATATTTAACAATAAAAAGAAATATATCACAATATTAGTAGTGTATATGGTAGGATGATTTATAGGTTGGTAGTGCTGATATAGTTCCTAAGTCTTCTACAATTAACATTGATAAGTTATTACTTTACTTTTTTTTTTAAGAATTATTTATTTAGTTAGTTTTATTTGTTGTTACTTTTTAATTTGACCAGAGAGAGAGAAACAGAAAGAGAGAGAGAGAGAAAGGGAAAGTGAGAAAGCAAGCTGCCAAGTCTGGGACTTGAACTGCAGTGGCCATGTGGGGGTCCAACACTCTTAAATGCAACGACCCCTGCTGGCCTGAGGTATTACTTTCATAATCAGAAAAAAAAATCTTAACCTTTCCAAGAAAAATAATGATCAGAAATTGGAAAAATCTTTAGGAGAGATTCTCTCCTTGAAACAGCTTGCCGATACGAAAGTATCCTTACTTCGCATTGCTTATGATGTTGATTCCTGGAAATTATTCCTGGGTATAAACGACATCTTACCTTTTTAAATATAATAAAATGATTTCCATCTAAATTTCTGCTTATTTTGATGGAAGGCCCCAACATTCTCTTTGGAAACATATAAAAAGTGTACCTCGGAATTTTCAGCTTACAATTTTAAGGAAGAATGACAGGATTGTCATATCGAGTGGGACCTTCTTGTCCAGCCGGCGGTGTAGCACCATGACACTTAGGCCAGAGAGCTGGATGGGCAGTCAGTCCTGCGCGTTAGAGAATGTCGGCGGCGTCCTCCACTTCTGGGCGCTGATGCCAGTAGCACATTCCCTCTTCTCCGGTTATGACCATCCAAAGTAGCTTCAGTATTGCCAGGTGTTCCTGGGTGGCAGACTGACCCCGTGGGAACCCCCACTTTACCGTACAGCCTGTTCACCCAGACGAGCAAGCGTGATCATCGCTGCGTGCTGTCTCCGTGCTTACAGCTGGAGAGCAACTGCCGAGGGTCACCCTGCCCCTCCGGGCTGCTGCTGCCGCCGAGCCAGTTGGAGTGGTTTCTCTTTCAGCCCTGCTTCCTGGCCCTTTGCTTTTTGTTTTCTTATAAAACCTGTAAGTTGTAAAGGAAGTTTCAGGAAAACACAAGCTTTTCCTTCAGTGTTTTCTCCCTTCTTGCATTCAAGGTCCTGCATTTAGGTCCGCCTGCGGTCTGGTAGGTAAGGTGGCTGGCTCTCACATGGCCAACTACGTGGCAGTTCTGGACCTGGCGATGTGAAAAACACGCAGGTTGCATGTTGTGCGTGCCCCAAATCCTGAAAGGAGGCAGGAATGGGGGAAAAGGGTTGTGGCATGCCATTCCTTATGAGGGGTGCTTTCCCTTCCATACCACACATACTCTCCGCCCCCGGCACACACACCCTCTGGCAAATCAAAGAGAAAGAACAAGGCCGGCCTTGGAAAGGCAAGTGGCATTGCCTTCACTTCACGTGTTAGTATGTTTTCTCCGAGTGCGAGAGGCTCTGAGTGAGGCATACTCTCTTTTTCCAATAGTTTTTTCACAATCTTTTTCTAATCATTCATCCCTGGTTCTTAGAAAAGCATGAGCCTGTAAAGATTCGTCTTTTGCAGTGCGTTGGGCACAGATTCCAGTCTTGGCTTCACCATACCGGTGCTGTGCCCTTATTTAGGAAGTTACGTAACTGCGCTGGGTTTCAGTTCTCCTGTCTTTAAAATGAAGAAGTAAGATTTAGCTAGTGAAGGTTAGACGTAGTGGTTATTTATACTTTGCCTAGATAGTGCCTGTGATGCGGTGCCATTCAAACTGTGTTAGCAGCGACAATTAAGATGGTTCCTAGATTCTAAAGGTATAAATAACTTTCTTTTTGTAGATTGGAAACTTATGTTGATGAGTTCATGAGTGTATTTGACGTTTTATTCCTAGATGTTGACTTACTTTGCTGCATTTGAGGTATTCTTTGAAGAAAATTTGCCGAAGTTATTTGCTCATTTCAAGAAAAACAACTTAACTCCAGACATCTACCTAATTGATTGGTAAGACTGACAGCTCCGTGTTTCAGGGCGCTTCCCCACCCCGCCCACTTCCCACTGTCCTTACTGCCAGTGTCTTCTGTGGCTCAGTGAGATTCCCTGTCTTGGTTTCCAGCCTTCCCAGCTGCCGTGCCTTTGGTGCCCTTTGTGTTCCAGGTCCCTGCACTGCTAGTCATCTGCTTAGTGCTGTGAGCTCACTGTGTTACCCTCTGTGACTCCTAACTGACCCTTCTGAATTCCTTCGAGGGGAGGATGGTGTCTGGGACCTATTTGCTATCAGAGTGCTCCTTGTCCACTGGTTAAGCAAGACCTAAGCCTCAGGTCTGTACCAGGATCTCTGCTAGCTGCTAGGTAGAGGCGGGTGGCGAGCAGGGTGCAGTGCTTGCCTGGCAGGAGTCTGCACCTAGGAGAGAGCCATGTGTCTGTAGACGCGGCGTAGCGTGTGGCGAGTACTCTCTTGGAAGGAAAGGAGGGAGGTCTGGGGCCCTGGACCCAGCCTTCGGAGTTGGACTCCATGGAGGTGACACAGAAGCCAGAGCCAGGTGTGATGACGAGAAGCAGCATGTGGGGTGCAGGGTTAGCAGTCAGTCTAGTGTACTGGGGCCTCACGTGAAAGGCATAATCTGGGGGACAGATTATGGAGGGGCTGAGATGCCAAGCTGAGCAGCTTGGGCAGGATTATAGGGGCAGAAGTCTTTTCCTTGGGGTGAGAGGGAGGCATATCCAGAAGGGAGAGGCCGGGGAGTCTGAGGGCACTGAAGCAAATCTAGATAAAAAGCAGAAGTGGGTGGAGAGCAGGGAGTGGCATAAAGTTGGTAGGTCTGTGTGGAAGTTTTGTGGCCATGCCAGAGAATCACGGTCTGCTCTGATTGTCCAGTGGGCAGTGGGTTTGCTGATGCCACAGCTGAGATCAGAGACACGACGGGAACAGATCGGGCAGTAGTGGTTAACGGATTTGACTTTAAATTTAACACAGTGATTCTGCGGTGCCCATGGAATGTCTAAATAGAGGCATCCTGAAGTGTACAGATAAGAGGGTCCAGAAAGTTCTGTGCTGGAGCAGTAGACCAGCCACGTCGTTGTGCAGAGGTGGATGTGGTCTCCAGGAGAGGGTATGCCCATGTGTCCAGGTTCGTGAGGAAGGCTGGCAGACGTGTGTGACAAAGACAGTGGTCTCCTGGGTGGCTGTCGGGGGAAGTGTGCCTCAGGAACTGAGCAGCCCTGGCCCAAACCCAGCTCCTAGCATCCTCATCTGGAGTTCACACCTATTAAGCTGGCAGGGCATTATAAGACTGCTCCCCAGCCCTCCCCTGATTTTTACGGAAAGGGCCTTGCAGAAGGAGAGACGATGCCCAGTACCAGAAAGACCACTCAGGCTTCATAGAGTACATCTAGAACTATAAGTAGGAAGCTTAGCTGGTTTGATTCCCCCCCACCCTCAGTTTTCTTCAGGAATGCAAAGGTCTTCTAGAAGGTAAAATCTAAGCCTGAAATGAGGCTGACTTCTTTAGATTAAGCAGACTTTATGTGTACCTTTGGGAGCTAACCTTTAGAATTCTTGGCACTTGATATTTCTGTCCTGTGTCCTAAAAGTATTCTGTCACAGCTAGTTTGGTGTTTGTGTGTGTGTGTGTGTGTGTGTGTGTGTGTGTGTGTGTGTGTGTTGTGTGTGTGTGTGTGTGGTGTTTGTTTGGTGTTTGTTGTGTGTGTGTGTGTTGTTTGTTTGGTGTTTGTGTGTGTGTGTGTGTGTGTTTGTTTTGTGTGTGTGTGTTGTGTCTGTGTGTTGTTTGTTTTGTGTGTGTGTGTGTGTTTTGTGTGTGTGTGTTGTTTGTTTGTTTGTTTTTGCCATTACTGTCAAGAGTTTGGAAGTAGCAGCTGGCACTAAAATCAAGGAACTGATGTCACTGTGGAATAGTAAATGCGGTGCTGTGAACTGGTCACTGTGAGGGATGCTGGGCTGGCCTGTCCGACCGTGCCGGGGCAACGTAGGGCCTGCTTTAAAGGGCCCCTTTATTTAATAAATGATCACTTCTTCACGTCTGTGAACACTGAGCTCTTGCATAGACTCACCCTCATTTATTTGACCTCATTCATTTGACTTTGAGCTCTGACCCTTCGGATTCCTGGGCCTGCAGCCTGGTCCTGGAGGAGGGGAGAGGATCCTGACAGGGCTGGACTCTTCAGCATCTGCCTTAGGTCTTTTAGGGCTTCCACGTTAGATTCTGAGAATTCTACATTAAAAGTTAGTAGTGTATTTTGGGCCAGGAGATGGCATGGTGGTTAAGGCAGCTTGAAAATCATGCCAGGTCTGTGCATGTGCTGCCCAAAATCCCAAAAGGAGAATAGAGGAGAGGGGATTGTGGCATGGTCATCCCACTGAGGGGTGATTTCTCACTTTCTATCTCTCTCATTCTCTGTCTCTTTCCAGCAAGTGTATACACGCTATAGCAAAAACTAAAAAAAAAGAAAATTTAATTGTGTCTTTTAAACATTTTTCATCTATTTCTTTTTTTAAACTTTATTTTTTAAGTATTATTTATTTTATTTGTTGTTATTGTTATTATTGTTGTTATTATTTTTTAATTTGACCAGAGAGAGAGAAAGAGAAGGTGAGAAAACAAACCACCAGACCTGGGACTCGAACCGTGATCAGCCATGTGGGAGTCCAGCACCATAACCACTGTGTCACCTACTGGCCCCATATTTATTTATTTTAATTTGACTAGAGAAGGACAGGGTGAGCGAGAGAGCATGAAGAGAGAGAGAGAGAGAGAGAGAGAGAGAGAGAGAGAGAGAGAGAGAGAAAGTGAGAAAGCAAGCTGCTAGATCTGGGACTTTAATTGCAGTTGGCCAGGTGGGGTAGTCCAGAGCCCTTAACCACCATGCCACCTGCTAACCCCTATCCATTTATTTCTTATAAAAAGAAGTACAGTTTTTGTTGTGACCCTGTGTGTGGTCACGTGTTCAGAAATAGTATATGTGTGGGACTGAATGTTTCATGAAATACTATCTAACCCTGACTACATGCAAAGTATTTTGAAACATTCTATTCTGTTCTGTTGATTAAAAAAAAAAAAAGAAAGAAAGAAAAGTGCTGGGGCCAGCAGGTGGCAAGTTAAGGCACTGAACTCCCACATACCCAAGTGGGGTTGAATTCTGGACTCCCAGGCTTGAAACTTACGCTGGGTGCTTGTGCATACATGCCCAAAATCCCGAGAGGCGAATGGAGGAGAAGGGATTGCGGAGTGGCCGTCCCCCCAAGGCCGATTTCTCACTGTCTGTCTGTCTCTCCAACACGCTCACGTGCCCTTTGGCAACAATCTCTCTTTAAAAAGATGCTGGTGGTAATCTGCTCTGTTGCTTTCACAGTCCACTGGTTGCTAACTGGGTCACAACTGGCTGTGTGAAAAATACAGGCCAGGGGGACAGCTCTGCCTGTTCCTGTCCCAGTCTGAAGAGTGTTATCATCCAGATAGAGACAAAGGCAAGGGCACCCACACTTTAAACTTACGTTTTTCATACGCCGTTTTTCTTTTCTTTTTCTTTTTCTTTTAGGTTTTTGACAAAAGCCAGTGAGAGACAGAGGGAAAATGAGAAATCACCTCCCCTGGGGGGATGACCACACTGCAACTCCTTCTCCTCCACTCTCTCAGGAGTTGGAGCATGCATGCATACACATCCGGTGTGATTTTCAAGCTGCTGGGTCCAGGACTCAAATTACAAGTCAGCCATGTGGAATCTAGTGCCTTAACCACCATGCCTTATGCTGGCCCTTGGCATGGTTTCATTTAACACTCAGAACTAGTCCCTCAGGTGCACTGTAACACCTTTTAGAAAGAATTATTTTAGAAGAATTCTTTTACGGATGAGAAAACTGAGGCTCAGGGAGGCAGGTGACTTGTATTCACACTCGAGTCTACTTGCTGTAGAGCTTGCGCGTTTTCCCACAGTGCCTTTGAAGGGATGTCAGTATAAAGGAGCAGTGTTCTTAACCTACGAGGTGGGTCCACAGCTCAGGCTCCAAAAATAGCATCAACATATTGAGGTCCCTGGGGAACTTGAAACATGGTTCTGACATATCTGTAGTGAAAAATGAGGCAGAGTTCAAGGTGTCTGGAAAGGAAGTTCCAGGAATTTTTGCTAATGAGACTTTACTGCTGCAATATAGTTGTGGCCCAAGGTCTTGTTAATGCTGCTCCCTGCGCTTCGACGAGGCCTCTGTGGTTGCTGGCTTGTTCTTAGCTACTGACTCTTCTCTGGAATTAGTCCAATAGGTTGGCATCTCCATTTGCAATTTTGGAGCAGAGCTAGGCACATCGTAAGTTGTTGGTGACATATGACAGGAAAGCCATGTATTCATGATTTACCTTTATTTTTACCTGTAGGGCCTGTGCACAGCCAGAGATGGGTGAGGAGTGGAGGTGAGAGATCACAACCTCACCCCGTGGGAGATGGCTATGGCCAGTCCCTTCTCCATTCTTTTGGGATTTTGGGCACTCACACACAAGCACCTGTTTTTGTTTTTTTTTTTCTGTTTTTGGAGAGGTTTTTGCTACAGGGCGCGTGCGCTTGCCAGACAGACAGAGAGAGACAGAGAGACAGAAAGCAAGAAATCACCCCCACGTCACAATCCCTTCTCCTCCATTCTCCTCTCGGGATCTTGGGCACGCACGCACACGCGCCCAGTGTGAGTTTAAGTAGCCAGGTGCAGGACTCGAACCGCGGTCGACTATGTGGGAGTCCAGCGACATAGCCATTACGCTAACTGCTGGTCCCAGCACCTGGTATGTTTTTCAAGTCACCAGGTCCAGGACTTGAACCATGCTGTCAGCCATGTGGGATATAGCTGCCTTAACTGCTATGTCTCCTGCTGACATCGTGTTTTACTTTTAGTCAGTGTTTATTGATGGTATGCAATGATTCAGGTCTTTGTTGGGTACTTACAGGTAAAAGTTCAGACCAGAAGCAGGGTAGCAGGTGAAGAAGAAACAGTAAAAAGCAAA